CCTTTCCCTTCGAGAATAGCAGTTGAAGAAGGGATAGTTATTAAAAATCTTCATGAAAATAAGTTGCCATCAACGGCCATGTCCGTGAGTTTATGGCTATGGTCGTACAAGAATTAACAACCACGCAAAATTTTAAACGGTAGGCCTAGACTTTCAGCAAGCCAAGGATCTGTTGAGTGATCATGATACACAAAATTGGGCACTGTTTTCTTACTTTCTTCAGATTCAAAACAACCAAACCGATCAACCAAAAACAAGGCTCCAAGCCACTCATATTTCAAAAGAATTGCTTGGAAACTTTGTTACTGAAGAGAGTTTGGATCGGCTTCTTACGGAGCAACACAACGAACTACACCTTAGCATCAGAAGACTTACCAACAGTTCAAGAGAGCAACGAGGACTTTTCAACTTCAGATGATGAAGCAGCAGATGATTTAGTCCACTTCAATGCTTCGACTTCTACCGACACCAACATCTTAAGCACAGATTAACTGCCAGCAGTCGATTCAATCAACGAAAACGCTTCAACATCTGAATCGAAGGTTGAAACTTCCGCATTGTTATTACATTGTTAGAATGGAGCTCGTTTGTGTGATATTTGAAGAAGAAGATTCAAAGAAAGAAATTGAAAGTAAGTAGATAGATGAAACTAGTATCGCATCGTAGGGATCGTATTAAATATAAAATAGAATTTATACAAAATTGATACTTCTGTCGGCATTATAAAAGATTGGCTTCCTAGAGATGCTCTTCAGATATCTACATTTACGGAAACCGTCCCACAGCAGAAAAATTATCTTCATTCGGAGGTCAAGAGTTCAATGCAAAAAGAATAGATGTGCTTGTAAAAAAAGTATCGTTTTTCGATCATGTGCTTCAATAATTCAACATTCCGTTAAAAATATACTAGTAATTACGTTAAGTAACGTAACGTTAGTTTGTTTTTGGATACTTCTGTTGATTCGTGCAAAATAATATCTTATTACCGAGCATATTACTATGTATCTAATAATGTCTCGTTTAGTAAGTAAATGCACTTAATATAAGAAATTTATCATTTTGTCATTTCACTAAAAAAAATTTGGGATAAGGAAAATGATAACATGTACCGCGAAGTGGCCATCTCCCTTAGGGATTTGATTAATAGTGTGAAAGTAGACGGCATTGCTTAGTGGTCAAAAAACGTATGACAGGAAGTGTAAAAATGGTACAAAGAAACCCATTCTGAAAGGATAGGCATCGTTTTGCCCTGTACACTGCAGGATGTCTTACCTGGAAACCAAGATGGGACAATTTGACACAATAACTATCGACGGCGATGAAAGCGAGTTAAAAATTCTGACGTGTGAAAAGTGACATTCAGTTTCGGGGTCGGTTTCCCAGGCGCCTATGCCGACGCACACGCAGAGCTAGCTGCGGATTACTTTTGCGATTTTCGTCTAATTATTATGTTAATGAAGTTTCGCAGTTGCTAGTCCATTAAACGCCTAATAATACGCAAAGGGCGGCGTTTATTTCGAATGTTAGCGTGATTTTATTCGTAGCGCGGCTTGCGGCGCTTGCGATCGCAATGTTGTGGTCAGTGTGCACTCGATTTCTATCTTCATGCTTGTGGTGGTCTGTAGTCTCAATTTAAATCGTTACCTAATGTAAAATAGCTTAGGCAAATAGCGTGATCATATTGGTTTGAATAAAGTGTTTCCGAACATTTATTCTTCACCTTTAATCGATAATAATTATAATAATATAATAATATTACAATAATAATAAATGATGACCGATAATCACCCGCAATTTTAACAAATATGACCGCAACGGCCTTTATTGATAATAAGCGATATTTCAGCATTCAAGTATTCGATTTACAAGTTCTTCTTCGTTTTATTTCTTACTTTGAGTATAAAAAAGTTCATATTAAAAAATCGAGGAATATCGCAGAAAAAATACAAAGTCATTTTTTGTCGTTTTTTCACGGATACCTGGGAGATATTTTGTGATGTTTAATCTACTCAATGAGAGCAACGTGTTCAGCTTATAGACGCTCGAATCTCCTGAGACCACAAAGATTTACAAACAATTTTACAACGGCTAGAGAATCACAGTCCCTTTGGCAATAATTTTACAGACCTGTCGCGTATATCATTACTGGCGAAGTAGCAACCGAACGTGTGAACGTATGAAGAAAAAGCAATGCAAATGCACTAAAAACCTAAAAACAATATTATTAGACAAGAACCACTTTTTTGGAAGAATTATTTACAAGAAAACGAAGCAGGATCTTAAACATTATTTTTGTTACGAAATACTTCAATGGCGGGTGCCTTTTACATAGGATAATATATACGTTTTTTTATACGTTAAGAAATTTTGAAATTAACACTTAGGTTGTATTTGATGGGTACAACGATCTTCCTTCAACAAACGATGAAGAACATCGCCGTATAAAAAATTAAAAAATCCTCCGCTCAAGTTGTTTTTCCAGAATTTTTCGTTTCTCTTTCATGATAAAAATAGGAATAACGTTATTCAGTTACTGAAAGAAATACCGCAAGAACAGAAACTCTAGATCTCGCATGTTATGTTTTTGCTTTTCAATTTTACTCACTCACATTCGAAATTGTTTAAATGTTCTTCCATTATTTTTTATATCATAAATGAAGACCCAAAGCCATGAAAATTTTATTTTTTATTTGCATAACTTCATTTGTTTTCTGTTATTTCGCACTTCTGAGGAAAAAATCTATTTTATTATTAACCTTAATTTTAATTACGGAATTTATGATTAACAACATTTTATATTGTTTAACCTAAAATGTATTAAAATAGTTCCTTGTACATCTACGGCATAGTTGTAAATCAAAATTTGGTTTGAAGAATCATAATTTAATTTAACTTTTATTATAACACTGACTACTTTTTTGTCACGCTGTTATTAACGTATTGGTACAGCAGATTTCACATAAGAATAAGAATTCACAAATTTCACGGACTTCACAAAGATTTCCGGATTTTAGATTTCACGAACATTTCTAAGATTTCTAAATGATTTAATGGATTTTACCCACTTTGAAAAATATTTTTTAGATTATCTGTTGTAGATAAAACTTCTAAAGTAAAAAATAATAACAAATATGCTCAAAATTTATTTTCAAAAAGTGGGAGAATCGGATATTATGCAAGAAGTGTGGTAAACGACATTTGAGTCACGAGTTTATTTGGTACGAGCGGAGCGCTAATATGTCCGAAAACATCCGATTGCTCCGAAACCCGTGCGGTAAAATCCTGGAAATGTCCGAAGTGGCTCAGATCCGTGGGAAACTAAACTGTGACGCTTTCCATACGCTAGATCGGTGTATAATTAGATATTTTACAGACGGGAGTCGAAAAAGAATATTGTCAATGTCCAGTGATAAATGAAAAACAAATTTTATAGAACTCACAAATTTGCAAAACGGGTACAAAAATTATATTTTTGATTTTTTTTTATTATCTCTCTAAATTTTCATATTCAACTTTAATTAAGTAATTTTCTTCATAGAAACAGGCATGTTAACACATTTAGTTAGGAAAATCGATAATTATTTAAAAAAACATTGAAAATATTAGTGAGTGGAAAAAGTGAGTTTCCTGATTTCCAATATTTTTCAAAATTTGTAAGGGTGCAACCAAGCCTCACATCTATAACCCAACTACAAATAATTTGAAATAGTCAATTAATCACATATTGGAATTTTAGAAAAATTATTTTGTTTATTATTTAAAGATTTCACGGATTTGTGAAAACGGGAGTCCGATTTCGAACGGAGCATTCTAAGTCGTGTCGAAGGGTCTTTAAATATTATCGTGTAACGTGTAACATACTTTTTCTGATTTCTTAAAAATTCGTCTTCAGTTTCTCTTAATTTTAAAAACGCGTTCATCATACCTTGGAAGGCAGTTTCTAAAGAAGCTGTCTAAAATGAAATGTCCCCCTGAAATTTTTAAATTATATTTTTGACTTTTGACTTGCTATAGCTTTGACGGCAGCTTTTGAAGGAGCGCAACACCGACATTTAAGTATATATTTGTTTTTAAAAAAAAAATGTTTTCGCTATCTTTAAATTGTAAAAACCTGTTAAAAGTTCGCCTTCTCTTTCTCTTAATTTTAAAAACGCATGATAGCTTTGACGGCAGCTTTTAAAAGAAGCTTTCTAATGTGTAACACCAACTTTTAGAAATTCGCTTTTGAAGGGAGCTTTGTTCTCCCCCTGCGAAATGTCCCCTCGGAATTTTATCGTGTAAAACCAACTTTAATGTATATTTTTGATTTTTTAAAAGTATGTCTTCGTCTACGTCTTAATTTAAAAACGGCTCTTATAATACCTTCAATGGCAGCTAAGGGGTTCCGCTTTTGAAGGGAGCTTTTTTGAACGCTTCGAAGGTCCCCTTCGAATTTTACAGTGTAAAATCTACTTTTACATATATTTTTGTTTTTTTAAAAATTCATTTTCGTGTTGTCTTAATTTCAAATATATAGTTTTTAATAGACCCTCTTCCCTCTTGCAGTTATCTACAAAATATTTGGTGCAAACGTGCAAATAAAAATATTGGTGCAAACGTCCGCAAACGCAAAATGTCCCGAATTCATAGCTAACTTCACACACTTTTTTTATGGTTTAACCCTCGGCTGGAGGCCTTTTTTGATTCCTATTTTTCGAAAATGCTTCCGCGAATCATTTTTTTTACACCTCCGGGTTCGACAAACCCGCAGCGTTTCGCCCGTCTCAGATAACTCCGCGTATACGTTTAGCGTGCGTTTCCCATAAAAGATAACCTAATTTTTTTATCTCGAATATTTTCGGCGATTAGGGGACCGCCGTAAACGCGTCACCAAATTTGCGCGCGGTTGCGTAACGCGCGGAAAAATAAAAAACGCCGCCGCCGCCCGGAGATTTCAATCGGGGTGGCTGTGACGAACTCCCGCGCGCGTTTCGCTCTTCTTTTTTTTGCGGGGTACCTACCTGCGATTCCGCTGACGTAGAAGTATGCACGATGGACATCAGGAGACCGGCCAGCAACAAGCCGGCGAAGAACCAGCGGCGTGTCCCGGCATTTCGCTCGCCGAAAACGTCCATCTTCTCGTCGCCGATTGAATGCAAAACAAAACGAAAATTCCCGACACTCACGAACGGACTGTCATAATAAAATCGCCCGTCCCGGAATTATTTTATGTTAGTTCGGAAAAGTTTTTTTTTCCACGGTCCCGGTCACGGCGAGACGCGAAGTAGTCGCGCGTAAATGGACCAGAAGAGTCTGTGCGTCCTGTGTGCGCAAATGCAGCGCCGAACTGAATGCTTGCCGCGGCCGCCTATAACTTTTCAAAACTCCACATGTGCTTCTCGCGTTTCTGGGCGACGTTGCCGGATCGGCCGCGCGGTCGGACACCGCGCGGGTGGAGGAAATGGAGGCGCGACGACGTTGCTTATTTTTCCGGAAGCCGAGCTAATTTAGGAAGTAATAAATAATTAATTAAACAAAAGTAATTGGTTTTATAAGAAATGAAATAAATGTGTGAATAATGATATTTTGTTTCACTTTATGCTTGTACAGGATGTTTTACGAAAAATGTTACCAATTTTTTGTTTTCGTTTTCATTTTCATACTTTTTGTAAGTGAATTTATTAGTATCTAGAAGGTTCACGGTAATGCAGTAGTAGTAATTAAAGATAAAAATTAGCTCGAACAATGAAAAGAAAACAACCTATAATATTTGACAAATATAAATAAAATGATAATAAAATTATTTTACAGAAAAATTTATGTAACAATAATACATTTATTTAATCACTATCAATACCCTCGTCACTACTAACCCAATTTGCAACGTCCACAAAACATCCTCAGGATATCTGACGGGACATAGCGTATATCCTAGGGATATACTGTTTCAGCTAAGCGACATCCTTAGGACATCTCAAGGATATACGAGGTTACTAATTGTTACTATCAGATAAAACACATTTTATACACATTTTTTCTATTGTAGATATGAAAAAATTGTAGTTATATAATATAGCAAAAATATAGAACAAATTAAAATAAAGTAACTTAAAAATAGAGTAATATACCATATCTTGAAATAAACTCTAAAAGAATAACTAATATTTGACAGGTTTTCTGTCATTCTTTGGAGAAAGTAGCTCTTTCCAGCCAAACAGCTATTGAATTCTCACATTCTTTTGATGTTTGTGAAGTGTTTGCCTTCTTATCTGCATCTGAAAATATTTTAGTTTTAAGAAAGGAAGGTTTTATATATCTATATACTCATATGTTTAAAAAACAGATTTAAAAAATCCCTACATCCGCCTTTTACATGAAGGCTTGATTTGATGCTGATAGTACTCTCATGAAAATGATCTAAGATGCTAATCTCCGCGAAATACAAAACTCATTAAACTCTTATCGGTAAGATCTCTTTCATGAGAGTAGGTACTATCGCGCGCAAAAAAAATCTGGAACAAATGACTTTTTAGTTTGATAGTAAAAGCTTATTTTTATGCTACATCTTTAGTCAACCTAAAAATTTTCCTACTATCACCATGAAAACAAGGCTTAAAAAATAGGGAAAACGTTTTCAAAAATTAACCCAACAACCATTTTAATGTGAAAATTGTACTTTATGCAGGGTGATTCCTAAAGTTGATACTTTGTTTTTTGGGGCCGATTCTTGTATCCATTGTAAGAAAAAAATATACTGACTATACTATTTAATTAAAACTATATTTTTATTCTGGGGGATATTTTTTAACATTGCTTACTTAAATAAAAAATTAGTTAAGTTTTGTATGCCTATATTTAACTGCTCAAAAAATATGAAGAGAAAGTGGATTTTATTTTTGTTTTCAAAAGCAAAGCAATAAGATACGAAAAGAAGTCTAGAATCAAAAAAGATATATAATATAAAATGTATAATATAGGTATATAGGTTACAAAAAAGTAAATTTTATCTTAACCCGGTCCAGTAATCACTCCTTAAAAAAAATCAACTAAGATGTATTTTATTAGATTATATTTCTTATACTTTATTTATATTACATTCACATATTATTAATTTTTAAAAAACATAATATCTACTTACCAAATATTAATTTGGAAAATTTTAATTTTGAAAATTTCTCCTTTTTCTTCATGTCAGAGCTTGTTTTACAAACTCACAACTATTGCCGCCGCTTGATCTTCCTATCGCATTGACCTAGCAAAATAATAAAAAACAAGGCATGATGTTGATGGACTACGCGACGATGGTTCGTTCAGGTTAGAATTTATCAAATCTTATGTTATATATTACCATAAAGCTTTACTTACATGAATTATTAGTTCTTCACTAATAATAATACCACAAAAAAATAACTGAAATAAAATCACTGAAAGCAGTAAGCACAGCACACAAAATACTCAAAAAAAAATATATATATATATATATATATATATATATATATATATATATATATATATATATATATATATATATATATATATATATATATATATATATATATATATATATATATATATATATATATATATATATATATATATATATATATATATATATATATATATATATATATATATATATATATATATATATATATATATATATATATATATATATATATATATACAGGGTTTTTCACTTAAAACTCCGCACGCCAATAACTCCAAAACGAAAAGAAATATTTAATTTATGTAAAAAGTAGTCAAAGTGTGGGGTCAAGTAGATATTTCCTAAAGTTTAAAAAATTCGACGCCTGCAAAGAGCTGGGCGTCGCGACGCGTCGAAAAATTATTCGATTGCAGAGACTTTGGAAATACGCGCATACAAAAGTACATATTATTTAAAAACTTTTTTGTTATTTACTCAAACTTATTTACTTTACCCGTTTCTAAGTTATACCGATTTAAAGTAAACATTTCTTGATTAATAAAAAATGTGATTAACGCTTATTTTTACAAGTATGTCATGAATGTTAGTTACTATGGCAACCATTGTTATCGCAGTTGTTTTAAGTGCAATTACAAACAATAGATTTCAACTATTTTAGTATGATTTTATTTATTATTTTTTATCGATTTAGTTCTGATAACATGATAAATACAGTAAAATACCTACAAGTTAATAACCAAAATTATTATTGCAATTAACTACATAATAAGATATTTCAAAAATTTTGTTCAAAATTATGTCCATCTGCTCGAACACAACTATCAAAAACTTTTAACAGATGAGCTTGGGTCACTTGTAGGAGAGTCCTTCTTGTGATAGCGGCATACGCTGCACTAATTTTGTTAATGAGATCAGCCATATCTTCGATAGGTTCTTCATAGATAACGTTTTTTGTTTAGCCCCAAAGAAAATAATCTGGTGGTGTAATGTCCGGGGAACTCGCCGGCCACCTTACCGGTCTATTAGTACCAAACCATCTATTGGGATATTCTCGGTTCAAATACCTCGTTACTATTTGGGCATTATGTGCAGGTGCTCCATCCTGCTGTAGCCACATATTCATTCTAGTGTCAAGAGGCACTTCTTCTAATAGTTCCGGAAGTGTAGTTTGAAGAAATCTTAAATAGCGATCTGCATTTAAAGTTCCTTCGTAAAAGTAAGGTCCAATAAGGAATCCATTTAATATGCCGCACCAAACTTTGATACTAAAAATTCGTTGGTTACCTCTTTCTGTAATCCAACGAGGATGGTTTTCGGACCAAAAACGACAGTTGTGTCTATTAACGATTCCATTATTTTGAAATCGACTTTCGACGCTCCATAAAATTTTCGAGAGAACATTTGCATCTTGGCTATACAAATCGGACAATGTCGCTAAGAAATACATTCTTCTAGCATAATCGCCTGGTTCTAGTTTATGAACTAGTTTACTTTTGTACGGGTGAAAAGAGTTTCTATGTAGAATTCTCCACGAAGAACTTATGGTAACACCGGTATTTTCTTTTATCTCTGATAGGGATATCTTGGGGTTATTATCAACCTGCTGAATTACAGCAGCAGTATTTTCATCATTTGTAGCCGTCCTGTTCCTATCTCTTTTAGGTTTTATGAAGCTGCCATATTCTCTTAAGTTTTTACATAAACTTGAAAAGGTTTTTGCATCGGGGACTCTTCTATGCGGATAACGCCGTGCGTAAACTCTTTTTGCTTCTCTACAATTGCATCTGCATTCTCCAAACACCAGTAACATGTCTACTTTTTCCTCATTGCCAAATTGCACCATTTTCACATAATAATTCTTAGTTTTTTTGAAACCGAACAAATTTGGATATTTCTTGTGACAAAATGTGACAATTTTTTGATACAGCAATAACAACTTACGTTTGTAATTGCACTTAAAACAACTGCGATAACAATGGTTGCCATTGTAACTAACATTCATGGCATACTTGTAAAAATAAGCGTTAATCACATTTTTTATTAATCAAGAAATGTTACTTTAAATCGGTATAACTTAGAAACGGGTAAAGTAAATAAGTTTGAGTAAATAACAAAAAAGTTTTTAAATAATATGTACTTTTGTATGCGCGTATTTCCAAAGTCTCTGCAATCGAATAATTTTTCGACGCGTCGCGACGCCCAGCTCTTTGCAGGCGTCGAATTTTTTAAACTTTAGGAAATATCTACTTGACCCCACACTTTGACTACTTTTTACATAAATTAAATATTTCTTTTCGTTTTGGACTTATTGGCGTGCGGAGTTTTAAGTGAAAAACCCTGTATATATATATATATATATATATATATATATATATATATATATATATATATATATATATATATATATATATATATATATATATATATATATATATATATATATATATATATATATATATATATATATATATATATATATATATATATATATATATATATATATATATATATATATATATATATATATATATATATATGTATATATATATATATATATATATATATATATATATATATATATATATATATATATATATATATATATATATATATATATATATATTCTCACGTATTGATTCACGGATGGAAAAATGTGATGACACTATATTCCGGGATATCATCCGTTCGCTCGTTGAACTCCGACTGGAATCCTGCATCCGACTGGAATCCTGCAAATCTTGCATCCGACTGGAATCCTGCAGACGTTTCGCCAAAATCTCACTTGGCATCTTCGATGCTCGCGCTCCGAAAACACTTCGAAGTGTGTTCGAGTTATCATATATATATATATATATATATATATATATATATATATATATATATATAT